TTTCGCAACCGTACGGTAAGGTCGAACGTTCCGTTGCATTTTACACTCTACCCTTCAGGACGAGAGTGATGTCGCGCCGCCGCCATAGGTGACGAAGGTTAGCAAAAGCACTTCGAGCTTTCGCTATACGGTTCGTGATCTCGTCTTCGATCCCAAAGGCGCTGATACAACATCCCAGGTAGTTGAATTTTTGAACGACTTCTAGCTGATCCCCACCAAGGGTCAGCGCAGGAGGCGATCCCTGCCAATCTTGGAGGAACGCTTTGCACTTCGATGGTGCAAAGCGAAGTCCAAAGCGGCTGACAGCCAGTGCTAATCTGTCCAGCGCGGCTTGGCACGTCTGGGAGCTGTCACAGATGAGGATATTTCTCTCCACCCCAGAAGAGCGCAGGCCTTACTGAGATTTGCCTTCAAGCACAAAGGTACCAACATTAGTGTGCAACCACACCTTCCGTTAACGGATAGGTTAAAGTTAAAGCAAGCCATCAGAGACCTAAAAGCCCGGCGTGCAGCTGGCGAGCAAGGTCTCCGATTGGTGGGTTTTCAGGTGGTTAGCCGGCGGTCCTTTTCCGCCTTGCCAGAACCTATTCTACTTGCGCACGACATACATACATGGCTGGCGGCATCCGGTTTCGGATTTGCCTGTCACTGTGGCAAGTCACAGGACGCCTGCGCCTACAGAGGGACCATGGATGGCTTGCGCTGCACCATCCACAGCTCCAACCACACACCCCATATCCAGTGTAAACCCGAAGGAATAAGACTGGGAGGCATGCGGATGGGAGCCACGTTTCATCAACGGAGCCGGCCCACACTCCTTCACAGGCAAACACAAGCACACTGTATTTGGGGAATCAAGCGCACACAAGGCGGTGGCTTGACCTTAGTCCGCTCCACACTGAGTGCATGGAACCACTCTTCGAGCCTAACACGGCAACAAGGACCGTGCACCCTGTCCCCTCCAGCAACGACCAACTGTCTCCTGGAGCCACTATGGACGAGGTAGTGGGTAATAGACAGGTAGGCACCTTGTCAACATGCACATCAAGCGCAGCCACACCGGCGATATCAAACAACAACCAATCACTTGAGAGAGAGAGAAAGAAAAAGAGAAAAACGCGATTAATGCATAAGGAAACGGTGACATAAACCTTCATTAAATAGCATATGCAATAAGTTGTTTCCAAACAAATCCTAGCTAAGTGCACGAGGTCAGGAAGTATAGTTCACGGAATGCCACGAACACAAATATGCTACGGAAATCGAATACAATTGGCTTAGGCGTGTTGTGTAAGTTAATGGAATAGAGTACAGGGAGATATTTATATGAGAAAGAAAAGCATTAAGGTAAAAACTGTAGACCCACCACCTGAAATAAAGAGACTTAGCATGCAAGCACGCGGTTAGTAAATCGAATTCAGCGTGCCTACAAACGCTGCGCCGGCTCGTCGTAATTCTCTGCAGCACCCGTCGTCGCTTCTGTAGTGGCCCCAAATGGCACAGCTCATGGCCCACTAGACATTTATATGAGAAAGAAAGGCATTAGGAGAGAACCGAAAACCCACCACCTGAAATAAAGAGACTTAGCATGCAAGCACGCGGTTAGTAAATCGAATTCAGCGTGCCTACAAACGCTGCGCCGGTGCTGCCTACGTTCACTGCGGGACCCGTCGGCGCTTCGGCAGTGGTCCCGAGTGACCTCTCTCATGGCTCACTAGGCCTGCCTGACTAAGGCACTCGCGACCGCATGTTCTACAGCACCATGTGCACTCGATGTCGATGGAGTACAATTCATCGGTGCTTGCCGCTTCCGCAACTGCCGCTTCTTCTCTGCATGCATGAGGGATTTCTCCCGCACTTCAGCAACTGCCTTCGTGATTAGATCGCGCCATGCACGCCGATCAACCGCCTTCGATTCCCATGATCTGCAATCAAGATTAGAACGTGTGAGGCTCACTTTAATCATGTCCTGGTAACGTAACTTTGGTTTCCCCGCGTGCCGCTTCCCAATACTCAGCTGACCGTATAATAGTTGTTTCGGTATCCGCGTCGAATCCATACGGCTCACATGACCGACCCACCTCAGGTGTCTCAATAAAAGTATGCAGTCCACTGCATACATCCCACTTCGGCGCAACACTTCCGTGTCTGCAACTCTGGCGCCCCAGCCGATCCGCAAAATTCGTCGCAGACACTGCTGATGGAACCGCTCGAGATATCGCACATCCCGACGGTACATCGTCCACGTTTCACTGCCGTATAGAAGAACGGACAGTACCATGGATTTGTACACCATCAGCTTCGTGCCAATGCTAAGCTGATGGTTTTTCCACACTCGGTACTCAAGCTTCCCGAATGCCGCTGCCGCCTTCGACACGCGATTACGCAACTCAACGTGTAGCTGCCGATCAGTCGACATCACACTCCCAAGGTAGCAGAAGCGGGAGGTGGTTTCCAATACTTCAGCACCAATGCTGATTTGCGGCAATATTGAAGATTGCACCTCCGGTGAAGGCTGAAAGAGACAGACAGTTTTGCTTGTGTTGATGGTGAGCCCGAATTTGGCCGCTGTCGAAGCCAGAGCACTAGTCATGTGCTGCAACTCATCTGCGTTGTGTGAAAACAACGCACAGTCGTCAGCAAACAGCAACATACGGATAGTTGTCTCACAGACTAGAGTTCTCGCACCGAAACGACGGATATTCAGCAACTCACCATCAATACGGTGCTCCACACGAACACCGTAAGCACAAGCCGCATCAAAAGCACAAGACAACATTGCATGAAGATAGATATTAAACAAGGGCAGGAGCTAAGACACAGCCTTGCTTCACACCAGAGACAACTGCAAAGTCATCAGAGGTCTCTCCACTCAGCTGCACCCTCGCTCGCATACCACTGTGCAGACATTCAATTAAACTTACAAACTTACGCGGGCAACCAAACTTACCCAACACCAGCCACAGTGCCTCGCGGTTCACCGTATCAAATGCCTTGGTGAAATCAACAAAAAGCGAGTACAAAGGCTGGTGTCGTTCTCTGCACTTCTCTTGCAACTGACTTGCCGCAAACACCATATCTATAGTGCTGCGACCCGAACGGAATCCACATTGCTCTTCCGCCACGTTTGGTTCCACAATCTGACTGACGAGGCGATTGAGCAGGATTCGGGCAATCATATATATATATATATATATATATATATATATATATATATATATATATATATATATATATATATATATATATAACACCAAGGGAGTGAAAGGACATCTGATACTAATCGTGCTGTTCGTTTTTTCAGTTATCCCAAACAAATCACATACATTTTGTTGCGTCACTTACCTGAACCCCGTGAAAATCAATTCAATGGATATCAGACAGACTACTCTTTCTCTCAGAGTGCGTCAGTTGCGCATTCCCAGTTCACCATGCACCTGACTACTTTTCATGTTCCTCTTTTTTGTCCTGAGGTCCTCTTTAATTCTGTTCATCACACCTGTTTTTGGCGATATTATGTTTCAGAAGACGTACTTAGAAATGTTTCTTCTATTGAATACCAATTCCAGTACTACCAGACTTTCCTTTGTGCTCACGATAACAAATTAAGTGCCTCAATATTGCTCTCTTTTCTTTACTTTTGTTTTAATCCTACAACGCCGCTGTGCTAGCGGCGTTGTTCGGACCAGACCTTTTCCCACTGCGAGCTGCTCCTGTATGGCCATCACAGTCTGAAACTTCATTTTTCATTGGTGTGCAACAGTAAAAAACACGGGCTCATTATTTGTTGTTGGACAACAGCCACTTTGGTGTCGCATTAGGGTGTCCACTGAATTCGAGCTCCCCTAGGTCATCCGCTTCACAAGCCTGATAATCAGCTACCTCAGCTTTTAGATTTTAGTGATCTTGTACTTAGTCGGGACGAACTTTGAGATGGTTGAATAGTAACATGACAGAAGAGTATAAAATTCATTGAACTACAGTGAAGTTAGTGCGTATCATTTACCTGTATGGAGATCTCAAACATGGTGGTTTGACGCACTCTTGGATATTGTTTTCTCACGATTTCAGTGGCACTTTTTCATTCTTTTATATCTGACTTTTGGCTACCCCATCTACTGACTTTAATTTCTGCATTCCCTTATCATTCCTATTTTGATGAATTCAATCAAGGCAGTTGGATCCACTGAAACTTCTAGTTTTATTTGATGTCGGCTCTCTTGATATCTTCGCCCTTCAACAGATTAGTCGGCAAGCGACATTAACTTTCACTCTGTGTTCCCAGTGGCCTATTTTATGTTACCCAAACTGGCATGCTAGATCAGACCGTCGTAATTCGCCTACCTTCATTCTGATTACAGTGACGATAACTGCACTCTTCAACGTTAGTGACAGACTTTCTGGCTCCTGCTGTTTATGATGCGAATACGCTCTATGGATGGGCGCAAAACGCCGGCTCGTAGCCTTAACGATCACTAGTCTGCCTTGTAATCCGAGGGAGCAAGTTCGGGCATGTGTAGGGGATCGGGCGACTCTCGCAGTATCCTTAGCCCACGCGCATCTAGTGGTGGTTGCGCGGCAGCGAAGCCTCGGTATTGCGTACGGACGTACTGCCGGTACCCGTTTCGCTGTCCCGCACCACTTGTCAACACGGTGCGAAATAGGGTTCCGTTAAAGAACCATCTTTAATGACACTTCGTTTAAACCCTGAAGTCAGTCGTTAAATTGACAAAAGGTATCAAACTACATGTGAACACAAAGGCAAAAGTTATCTGCTTTTCTTTCTATCCGTTTCCAATTTTGTAACCATTTTAATTGCGGACTAAGTTAACTCCATGGTTTCTAGATATCTGTCGATCCTATGAACTGTCGCCAATATGCAAATATACCCATGTAAATTCTTTTCGGAATATTCAGCTTGCTTTGCCACTGGTTTTCCATAACTTGATTTTTTAAACATGATACTCATGTACTTTTTCCATTTCCTTTCGTTCATTTAGAATGTCTACAGAGGGTTTGACTAATGACTTCGTACGCGAAGATCCCTGTGCATTTTCGCACGAAACTGATCTCCTTGACTTTTTGAACTCCTCGGACACCGAAGCTGACGAGTCTAAAGCGCTTATCAGCTCACAACCAGATCCCCAGTCGGAGGCGGAATCTGCAAATGATGACTCACCTGCGATTACTTTATCCATAACCAACGTCGTTGTCATGGCAAGTATGCAGTGTCATCTTCGGTTGAAGGAAATCGCCCGTTCCAGTGTCGACGTTGAGTATAAAGCCCTACAGAATGTGAGTTAGTCCAAAGGGATTCCTAAGCTTGCTACTTTCTGAGCCCGAATTCGACTATAGATATTTGTTAAGAAAATCCAGTCGGTTCCACCCCATCTTAACTTGCTCCATCTTCCATGTTCTGTCTTAGTTTTAGAGGTATGGGTATTTGGCTTATCATCCATAGATCACCGGTTCGAGCCCATGTAGGTGCGAGGCACCTTGCAGTATTCCAACCCCTATGCGGTCCTTGGTGATTGCGTGTTTGCCATCGTCATCGACAGCAGAAGTATGCCAGGCATTTGAACTGATGGTTCGCTACTGTACGGAACAAAGAATTACTATATGGGATAGAATGGAGAACTAATGTTGAACTTAAATACTCTAAGCAAACAGGCAGGTTATATTCTAACTGACTGTATTGCATGGCTAACTTGTGTGTGTGACCTGTCAGGTTCGTGTGGTGATTAAGTAGCAGTATGCAGCGACAGACTTGGTTTGGATTTCTTCAGAATCCCGTTGATCATTACTGAGTCGCCCTTAGGTACCAACAATGACCGCTGTGCAGTCTTACGGTTTTTCAGCTTAAGTGGGAAGATCCTTAGTGACTCTTCGCTGTGAAGTCTCGAACACTGCGAAATCTTACTTTTGCCAGCGCTTCCTGGCCTGGATGGCGTAATCCACATAAGGCCGCACGGATGTGTTGAACATCTGCGGCCCGTAGCCTTAAGGATCACAAGCTTGCCTTCTTATCTGCGGTCGCGGATTCGAGTGTGCGTAGGAACTGGGCGACCCTCGCAGTATCTTTACCCTACATGCGACCGGTGGTGGTTGCGCGGCAGCGAAGCGTTGGTACTGCGTACCGGTGTATTGCTTATGTCTTCCTTTTCTCTGTGGGCAGGCATATAGATTAGATCACCCTAGTACGCTCCGCAGAAGACCAACGTGTTGGTTCCCAATCTTTCTTCATGTTCTTTTAAACGACCGAGGTCAGCCTGAATTAATACGCCAAGATCACGCTCCTGAATCACCACATGCACGACATGGTCTCACAGCTTCGTATGCGCTGTTCGGCGGATGAGAAATGTGGACCATCTTAGATTTGATTATATTAAACGAGCAGTTTGAAAAATGACCATTCGTCCAGAGCTCGTTGAAGTGCATTGTGAACTCCTTTGTCGGCGATTGATTGCCCTCCGCGCCTTAACATCTACACTAAAAAGTTATACATCTGAAGCGATCAGATGCGTAAGCCTGTCAGTGAGATATCTAAAGGTCATGAGGAAACTTATTGAAAAGCTAACTAGTTGGTTCTCATCGTTCTATCGGAAGGGTCCTCTTGATTGGTTACATCGTTTGGATATATCATCAGCTGTGTCGCAGTCACCGACTCAATTACGCTATTGCTTTCATCCCCCGCTTTTCTCCATTCCATTTGACAATTTTAATTCTTGAACACTCTTGTCGTGATTATTGTGTGATCATTATTTTGGCGACGGGATTCACCGCACCTCGGCGCACGGATTAAGCTTGTGTTGGCCTGAATTGCCAACCATTGCTCGTAGCGTTGCGATATGATTCAGCTGATTGTATACCACCGTGGTTGCCCACTTGATCGAGTGGATTACTGCGGGAGCTCAAGTAGCCTACCACGCAACATAGTTCCGTCACACTGCTTTCCCGCATACGCTGTTGTTTTCTTGAGCCATTTTGGTATGTGTGCTACACACGAGATTGCAACAAAGTTACCTGGTGCTCTCTTGGTCATCTACTGAGTGGTTCAGTCTTGTACTCCATCGGTCATCGATTCGAGTCTGCGTATGTGCCGGTGCCCTTGCTGTGTTCCTAGTCCGCATGCGATTCGGGATGAACACGTAGCACCGAAGCGTCGATGCAGCGTGCTGCTGATAGTTTCTGTGTGGCACCTTAGTGAAACCCGTCACAATACAACTGCGCAATATCATAATCTGGATGATACGATAGACGTTTCTCTAATGACTTCCCATGCTCTCTGCTAGATTGCAGTACTCGCGGCTCATTGCCGAGCCTTTACTGTTACTATGGTCTTTCCTACTGCATCTTGTATAATAAGACGCTGATAACTAATGTACACTGTTTTAACTAGTGTCTTTATTTGATATCCAACTTAATACTTTTGCTAGAGCTAATCAATGCAATAGCCTATTCCGCGCCGTAACTTCACCAATTATCGCCTGCATCTGGCATTTTTGCCTCTGTTCGCTATTATCGAATGAATGTGTACTTTCATGTCAACACATACGTCATCTTAAAGCGGAAGCCTGTATTTTTTGCTTATGTTAACTTGCTCTTTGACATTCCGTCTGGTATGTATATAAAAGAGGTATTCTCTATTCTCCTTGCAGCTCCTATCACCCATCTTAATTCACTACGAACACTACCAAAGTACTCTCTTTCAAGTTTTATATTCTTGCTATGGAATCCGTATCCCTAGTTTGATCACCTCTCCATCGTTGTTGTGTCTCCTACATAGCACGTTATCATGCGTCTGCGATCGCCGTACACGGTTGCAACTATCTGGTCGAGCGGTAAAATTTGGTGTACCGGAGCCAATTCGTGAGTTCAATGCTGACTGCTTGTTCTTTTCTATCTTATAGCATCTACTCATATTCACTACTTGACAATTCCTCTTAAAGTCCAATGGCTCATTTCGGCCTTAGCTCTCAAAAATAAGGGGATACCTGTGAGCTGATTTGTCGCGTTTTTGGCATCCACGTTTGCCCCATTGCTCGCACTTCCGACCTCGCCACTGTCTTGTACACTAAAATGACATTTCTCTTCATCACGGGTATCGCCCGTCCAACTGTGTAAAATATGCGATATTCTTTTTGCTTTATGTGACACTCATTTCAATCTTCAGTGCACGAAATCGTATGTTTTGATTCCAGCAGCACTTCTTAGTCTCGTAACCAGCCAGTAAAAACCCTTCGTCCTATGGGAGCTTCCAATTTCTTATTATCTCAGTGATTTTTGTTTTCGTAGACTGTTCACGTGTGTTCACGGTGATATGGTTTTATTGCCTGCCATGGTTACTGTAGTTTGGACCTGGGTTACTTATGCGTTCACCAATGACATTCCGGTGAAGGTTTTCTGGCAGTGGGTACTAGATTAACCACATGCCCTTCGGATTACTTCAATCTGTTGCTATGTTAGATCTGCACACGAATTAAGGATAACGCATTTTATTTTGGGTCCTAGCGGCTCATTCGGACTACCTGACTGGATTTTTCTCGAGTTAGCGCTTTTCTACCAAACCGTCCCTTGAACATTTCAGGACACTCCTCTTATTTCGACCAACAATCGTCACAAACATGGGCGACTGCGTTTTCAACCTTGTGTAAACGCTTCATCTCTAATTCTCGCGGGGCGCCTTGACTTCGTAAACTTTCACTTCACCATCACTGAAAGGATTTCATGTACACGTTATGGCTTGCGGTCGTTTATGCTATTCTGAACCGTGCTCACTTTTTGGAGACATCCTTGAATCTCTCCGTGTTTCTTACTCTCCGTTATGATCATGCTTTTTCTACCATTCCCCCTCATTTCCAGCCTCACCAAGGCGAAGGTTGGAGCTAGACGCATCGCAAGGCGCATCGCCAAATGTGGATTTCCTTGCAAATTCAGTAAATACCGTGTGGTGAACATAATGGCAACGTGTCATCTTCCCTTCCGAGTGAGGTTAGAGGAGCTCGTCAAGGAAAATCCATCGTTAATGAGGTGAGAAGGGTGTGTGTTGCACTCCTGCCATTAGTAGGTAAACAACTTTCACCTATGCTTTGGCGTTTGAGAACCAATCTATGGTCCTTTCGGAATAACCATTCGTCCCGTTGACCGATGTTGTGACGCATCAACAGTCGGTACATTTGTCCATCTTTCGGTTGAGAACAAACCCATATAATTCGATCTGATTCAGGGTTGATTTTTTTCGCCATTGCACGCTTGGTTTCCCGTTTTTCAACGGTCCTTTCCTAGCAATCCCACCTTTCTTTTAGCCAATTATTGTTTTCGTAGTCAAGCTATGACCCCTACCTTTTCTTAACTCGGGCCCACCTTTTTATCAAACATACTGCGCCTTCTCGAAAATTGAACATACTGTGATCTTGACCGTTGGCAACTGTACCGGTCCCAGCACTAGGACGACCACATGCACCCGGCGGCCCCACGGTGGCTATGGTTGGCCGCATCCGGTTTCGGATTTGCCTGTCCCTGTGGCCAGCCACAGGACACCTGCGCCTACAGAGGGACCATGGGTGGCTTGTGCTGCACCACCCCCAGCTCCAACCACACCCCCCATATCCAGTGTAAAACGGAAGGAATAAGACTGGGAGAAATGTGAATGGGAGCCACGTTTAATCAACGGAGCCGGCCCACACTCTTTCACAGGCAAACACAAGCACGCTGTATTTGGGGAATCAAGCGCACACTGGGCGGTGGCTGGACCGTAGTCCGCTCCACATTGAGTGCTTGCAACCGCTCTTCGAGCCTAGCACGGCCACAAGAACTGTGCACCCTGTCCCCTCCAGCAACGACCAACGGTCTCCTGGAGCCAGTACGAATGAGGTAGTGGGTAATAAACAGGTAGGCACCTTGTCAACGTGCACATCAAGCGCAACCACACCGGGGATATCAAGCAACAGCCAATCACCTGGAACGACAAGATGACATAAAACCGTATCCAATAATGCATACAGATACGGTGGCATAACTCTTCGCTAAATTAGCATATGAAGTAAGTTGGTTGGCAACGAATCCGCGATAAGTAAGAAATGTCCACAAGTTACTTAAAAATGCTACAAACGCAACAAACTTACCGAAGATAAGCGCAATTAGTGTAAGCAACGTGTCCAGTTAATAGAAGATTATTCAGGTAAGCAGGACAAACCAAGTAAAGCGGAAGGAAATTTATCCAGCTTAAAAAGACCTAGTTTAAGTGTAAGTTGGTTTAGCCCAACTGCAATACATACGCCTGCTATACATGCTCCATTAGGCACACGCTGACTGTTGTTTGATGTGCTAATTGTCAGGGAAGACAGGTTATTTATTGAGCATTGGGAGACCAACTATTTGGCAGACAAGAACTCCATTTCAATACTCGCCTTTATTGCTGCATGGCATGTAAACGTAGCGCCATTGGTTCAGTAAAATAATATCAGCGGCGCCGAAACTTATCTACCGGGTACCGGTGAGCAGTCAGCAAACATGGACGCTTTTCATGAATCAATTGCTTGCTGATGGTAACGCAACCTTGCGCACACCTTGCGTGGGCATGTTTCTAGGGGGCAACTGCATACAGGTTATTGGTGCCGGTTGCGAACGGTCTCCTACAGGATTCCAACCCAGGCGTAGGGTAGGTCACACTTGGACAACCCTACAGCAATTGGTTCATCTGTCAGTGTCTTTCTTTCTCTTTTCCAAACCATCCTATGTCCGGTAAACGCAATAAGGTCGTCCTGGGTAATCGGTTAACGGCCACGCTTATGAGGCGCCCAAAGCAACATAAGTTATTTATTTATTTATTTGCTGCTCCAAAGAGTTCACTTGTTTAGTACTCAGCTGTATGCTTCATTGTTGCGAGCATACCGGTGCCAATCGACATAAGGGATGCTCCCTACGTACGACGGTATGATTGTTTTCACGCTCTTCGACCCTATTTTCCGGTTTTTTATTACATTTTCACCCTTTTTCACTACTGTTGTCCATGAATATCACCATGACGAAAAGAATTACCAGTAGTTGAACTCATCGCACTTCTATGTTCGGCCGGTGGTTGAGTGGTTCGGGCTTCTGGTCCATAATCCACAAGTCACTGGCTCGTACCGCTCAAGTCTGTTTTTGCCGGCCCGTAGCCCTAAGTGCCACAAGCTTGCCTTGTGAACCTGAGGTCGCGGATTCGAGCCTACGTGGGAGACCAGGCGACCCTTGCAGTATCCCTAGCCCATGTGCAACTGGTGGTGGTTTCGCGGCAGCAAAGCTACGGTACTGCGTACCGGTCTATTGATGGTGCCTTTTTTCTATCTTTAAGACTCATTAACAACAGAGTAACGTAAGTTTAACACAAGAGTCGCGTCCGGTTCTCTCTTTATCGTTCCAGTATGTGATTCCAGTAGTCTGCATTATTTTTCACCGTCGATACAAGTTTACAGCCGTTCGCTCTCTTTGTTATTCTGGAATTGAACGCACACGTCTACTTGATTTAGTGCTCCTAAATGCTTTGGAATTATTTTGTCCAATTTTTATTCCTTCACAGCTATGAGCCCGAGCTTTCTCCCGGATTAACCTTTAAAACGGACCCAAACTCTAGCACTTTGTTGAAACTGTTCTCCACCGGGCGCATCGTTCTTATGGGTGAGTATTTTTCCACTGTTCCGTCACCTGATTTGAACATCCGCCCTACAGTAACTGGTTTGTAGCATGCGGCCCAGCGTTTTGATGCACATCTGTCGAGGTCATCTGCTTGACCGTGCTAGTGCCGCACCACTTGCCTACGTGAACACTTCGGCTAGCATATTGTCCCCTTCGTTCCAAACCATCGTTTACACGGCTTGCTGCATTTTCCTACACTGTTCCATCCATTCTTGTTGGCGTACTAGGTTGTAGCTGGATCAAACTTTCTCGTCTCTCGCGGACTCTTTCTTGTTGCAGATGTTGCTCTTCTTTTGACTTATGCTTCTAGTTTTCTGTCTTGTGTTTACGAGTCCAATCATTGTTGTTGTTGCTGCTGCTGCTGTTGTTGTTACGTCTTTTCCAGGCTACTTGTATCTCCCTCCTCCCTTGGTATTGGCTTGGCTATTTTAATGCCTCTTGCGTCTTAAAATTAGCGACGTGAAAAACCATCAAGGTATTAGTCTTGTCTCTATTATTTCCAAACTTGTCACTGATTTTCGTGAGAGCCGAATCAGTGCAAACCATACTGGCTTCTGACAGCTTACAAATGACAGACTGTGGGGGTTTTCTTTGACCTGATGGCTCTGTTGATGAACCAGGTTATAGTACTAACTACCCGTAAAATATTAGTTAAGGAAACTCCTTTCCATTATTAGGCCTTAGAGTACCCACTGTGTGTCTGAATTGCGACACGCAGTCTCGATTGAGACTGCAGTTTGCTTTGAAGCAAACCTATATCATTTCGATCACTAGGAACGCATCCGAATTGGGGAGTTTCGGAGCTGCTTCCTCCCAACACTGCACTCCATGATCGACCGATTTCGTCCTGATTTGGACTCGTCAGGTAGGGATAGCTTGAGCTGAAAGGGGAGCCCAACACAGTAGTTGACAGCTTTCGTCTTGGAACTCCAAGATCCAATAATGAACTTTTAACCGCTATGTCGAGCGCTGTTGTGAAACTGTGGCCTAGTGACCAAGACGAAAGCGGTCAAACACTGTGTTGGGCTCCCCTCTCAGCTCAAGCTCTCTACCTGACGAGTCCAAATCAGGACGAAACCGATCGGTCATGAGTGCATTGTATGAAGAAAGCAGCCTCGAAACTGCTCTCTATTGTGAAATTCTCATCCCTGATTCTCGAGCAACAGGGAATTATGTATAGGAAGCTATTTAATAAGTTTCCCTTACATTTGGGGTTTACCAGTTTTCCTACATCATTTTTCCTCTTCAACCTTATGATCGAATTGTTCTCCTAACTTTTTTCCCAGTATCTTACGAAGTGGAAGTTCTCTCAGGTGATTAGCTAACAAACCTGGAGAGTACTGACGGCAAAGTTATCCTTGTATCTGACACAGTGGTTATACAAGTAAAATGGATAGACTGACGCATAGCACTACAAGCCTCGGTATGTTCTTTGGGTCTTCAAAATCCAAGCTATTGTTGCAAGGTGGAACCGATGCGCCATTGGTTCTGTTGTGACGCTGACTCCATCTGATCTCTGTCTTATCCGCCATCCAACCCAGCCGGGAAAACAGAAGACAAGATTTACTCGACCAGAGCATATTAAGGACAGAACATGGTCATTCATCCTCACCTCCGACTGTACGTTGCTGGGCCGATTGAGGTCACTTGTCTGCTCACGGACCCCGGTGCTTAGCTGCAGCTCCGCTCTCGTCTGCGCCCTAGTTATGATGATGAAGAGACTTTGTCAGCCGCCCTGGACAGCGTCGCAACTTGTGTTGTGGATGGCGAACTGATTTCCTCAGCTTTCTGCATGACATGTTGCAGACCCACTTCATATCTCGAAACCGCATCACGGCATTCATCCGTTGCGGCCGCCTAACAGGTTCTAGCTATCAGTTAGCAGGTACTGGAAGCGGTTTATCGCGTCACTTTTTGTTTGTGTTATCGCTGGTGATTACATCACTGAGGTTAGTTCGCGTATCAGCGAGATCACTGGGGGTTTTCGGTGGCTCAACCATTTGAGCCTGCCAACCAAAGGTAACGCGGATAATGCTGTGGTTTGGTTGGTGTTACTGTATGGACCAGAGACCAATGACTTCACTCCCTCTTTACGATATCCTGGAGAGTGCTCTGGACAATTGTGTACCCATCGGCGTTGTGCTGCTTCCGGGGGACCGACTTCGTAACTTGCAGTATGCAGACGATATCGCCATAAATCATAATTCTTCACAGGCCGCCCGAAATGTACTCTGTAAGTCAGTGTCTGTCCCCGAGTTCGGAACTATTTTCGCTCAATCTAAATGTAAAGTTTTCCTGCAGCACTGATCAAGAAATGTTCCTTCTGTCACTATTTCTGATTGTTCTTTGGAAACGATAGACATGTTTGCTTATCTCGGGATCTACTTCAGCGCCATCGGTTTAACGAGTGAGTTACCTTTGCGTATCTATAAAGCAGGGGTTAATTTTGCTTATTTCCACCATCTCTGGCGCCGATGCGACCTTACTTTCTCTTTAAAAGACCGAGTCTCTAATGATATGGTGAGACTGGTCCTTCTCTGTGGTTACGAGACGGCTTGTTCGCACAGGCTACGGTGACTTGGACACGTGCTTCGCATGCCTACTGAATGTGTACCACACCGTGCCCTCTTTGCGCGCGCAGAAGTCGGCTGGAGGCGAGAACAAAGTGAACAACGAATGACACGAGGCGTCATCTGACGCTCTCTATTCCCGGGCTTGGGGCGCAAGGATCACGCTGGCTGGAAACACTCTCGGACATGGCAAGATCTCACAATCAATGTAACAAGTTGTGAGGCCCTACTCCCATGATTACACTTTCCAGTTATTGATTTCTCTCCTTCCTTATGGTACTTATCCATATGTTGTTCCACCCTGACAATTGTACGGCTATTGGTCAAATGTTTCTATGCCAGCGTTCTATCTCTAGATCGAAAAGTTTGCGACAGACACCACTAGAATCTTGTTTGGCGTTTTTATACCAGTATGTTTCATTATATGTGGAGCTGTGGGTAGTGCGATGCAAGCCACCCATGGTCCCTCTGTAAGCGCAGGCGTCCTGTGGAGACCACAGTGACAGGCAAATTCGGGACCGGATGCCGTCAACTATATTTCATTATGGCTTTTCCAAATGTTTCTAAGACTGATGTTGCAGATTTTCTTCACGTTTTTTTGCTTATATCTTTTTAGGCTCTAGCATGGATTCTATCAGTGCGTTAGTCGAAGCATTGATTCCGTTGGCTTCCCTTCATCAAACCGACGAGCCGTTATCGGAATCGGAAGATGAAGATGAAAAAATAGCCAAAGTAGCGACTCGCGAAGAAGCAGCTGTCGCTCGTCAACTGTTACAATTACCTTCAGATGGGTTGTTGGATACCTTCGATTATTATTTGCACGGTGATTATGGCGAAAGCGATGATAGTGATGATGCCTACGGCCTTACCTACAACCATGGTTATTCCACAGATGATTCAACGGATAGTGGTGCATCCATCGATAGTGGGGGGATGAGCACAAAGCCGAGAGTGCGCAGTAAGCGTGGCCGTCCTCGGGGCTTGCGTATGCAGCGTGATCCTCTAACCTCGTTCAGTCACCCTCCTCCTGCTCCCAACGCTTCGGTTGATCCCAATCATGCAGTTGAGCACATTGCTTCTTCGCTTCATTTTGCCACATCGAATTCAAGCTTTCAAAACGCCGTTTACAGTAACACGCAGAATGTGCCGTCTAATGTCCAGTGTGCATCTGCGGATCCCACATGGAGTCGGAAAGCTGTCGCTTCCGGTGCCACAAAACGAGCACGTGTCATAACCTATTCGGGTACCGAAGATATTGATGAAAATACTCCAAATACACGGCCAACTAACTACGTGCCAACACAGACAAGCAATCAAAGTGTACAAATACTCCCTTCCACATCCACCGTTTCACCCATCGTTGTGTTCACTTCATCGAGTCTTCCACAAAATATTTCCAATTCTACTGCTCAGCAACCCCAACAGCCTCAGTTCGTAGTTGTCAGTGCCACACAACCGATGACTCAGTCTGTCACATCACAATTAGGAACTCTTCAATCATCTGTTCCTACGAACGCAACCTCGGTGCTTCGATTCGCCTCCGGTCACGTCACTGCCTTCAGTCAGCAAAACGGAATGACACCTGCAATGTACCCCGTCCGACTTACCGCGCCCTCAATGCACCTGACCAGCGTGCATTCTTCAATTGGTCCCAAGGTGAGTATATCGTGTGGTGTGGGAATTACTCATGTGACCATCTAGACGTTTTCTCGCAGTTGCTCCCATTCAGTTGTTTTTACTCAGTCTCCCGTCTGTCTGCTTTTTATCTTTGTGATTCGTAACACTATTTTATGTGAAGCTAGCTTTGCTGGAGCCGTTCAGTTTTTCGTTTTTTTTACAGGCATGGTGAGGCTGATGCTTCTTCACCACCGTTGGGCTGCACTGACTTACACTTTGATCTTCTTAACCTGTATACAAGATTTGCCACTTTATTTGATTTGCTCAGTTCCGTTATTCTGCTGCATATTCCTTTTCAAATTTATCTGTTTGTTTTCCTTCATATTCTGTTTTGATTGTTTGATATACCCGGTGTGGCTGCGCTTGTTGTGAATGTAGAAAACGTGCCTACCTGTCTAACACCCTCCACCACAGTTGCTTGGGAGCGCGCGGTTCTCGTGATCATACTAGGCACAGAGAATAGTTCATACTAGTGTAGAGCGGACTGTGGCCCCGCCACTGCTTTATGTATGTCTGATACGCATGATTCCCCGCTTGGACTGATGGGAGTAGTGCGGCTGTACATGTTGAAGGAATGTGGGCCTGCTCCGTTGATGAACCGTGGCTCCCATGAGCATGACTCCCGGTCTTATTTCTTCGGGTTTACGATGTATATGGGGTGGGTGGTTGGAGCTGTGGGTGGTGCAGCACAAGCCACCCATGATCCCTCTGTAAGCGCAGGCGTCCTGTGGAGACCACAGTGACAGGCAAATGCGGAACCGGATGCCGCCAATATATATGGTTTGAGGCATCCAGTTTCGGATTTATCACTGTGGCCATCCACTGGACGCCTGTGCCTATAGAAAGACTATGAGGGGCTTGCGCTGCACCACCTACAGCTCCATCCCCACACCCCATGTTCACCATAAATCCGAAGAAATAAGACCGCGAGTCATACTCATGGGAGCCACGGTTCATCAACGGAGCCGGCCCACACTTCAACACAGGCAAACACAAGCACGCTGTATTTGGGGAATCAAGCCCACACTAGGCGGTGGCTGGACCGTAGTCCGCTCCACACTGAGTGCTTGGAACCGCTCTTCGAGCCTAGCACGGCCACAAGGACCGTCCCCTCCAGCATCGATCAACTGTTTCCTAGAGCCAGTATTGACTAGGTAGTGGATGAAAGACAGGTAGGCACCTTGTCAACATGCACATTAAGCGCAGCCACACCGGGGATGTCAAGCAACAGTCAATCACATGAAATTAAATGAATAACATGGATCGATTACATCGTCCGGATATGCCGCCAGTGCCTGAGTCAGGCAGGTTTAGTGAGACACGAGTGAAGCCACTCAGGACCAGCACCGGAACGACGACGAGTCCTGCTGAGGACGTAAGCAGAACCGGCGCAGCATTGGTAGGTACGCTGCATTCGATTTACTAACCGCGCGCTTGCGTGCTGAGTTTATTTATTTCAGGTGATTGGTTTGCCACCTTGTCTCATGGGTTTTTTTGCTACCACAATTTGATGTACACCTAAATAATCTATTAAATTGTAAAGGTGGTGAACTTGGCTTATTTTTTTCTTCTGCGTACTTGTGTCTTGATCCCTTTTTCTGCCATCCTGAATCTATCACGGCTCTTTTGATAATCCATTTATTTCACCTAGATTATATATATATATATATATATATATATATATATATATATATATATATATATATATATATTCTTTGGACCAATGGTTTGTGTCCCCAAACTGTGTCATCCAGCGATAGTGTTCCCGCACCAATCAAGTCAAGTCACTCACTGCCTCAGCCGGTGCGGCGACTATCCACTTCGTATCTTGCTAAATGCGTTTCTAGGAATCCTCGTGTATTAGTTCAGAGACCTGGTCCACAATTCATTCGCTTCGCATTCCTGTCCCTCCTCCTGTCCAGATCCGGGCGTTCTATCAGTATACCATCTCTCGTGCAACCACAGGGAACCAATGTCGCCGTTTTAGTCTCTAGCTTCTCTTCTCCTGTGTATTAGCGACTTCCTTAACCGACTCCATGTCGTTGTGTGAAATAACTGTGTCGTTGGGTACATCAGTCTCATCAACGACGGCTTTACATACTCTGCATAAGTGCTTCACTGCCTCTCCACTAATTTGTATGAATGCCAAGAGGGAGGAACTAAGCGTGGCTTGAGGTCTAAACAACCATTCGGTCCTAGACAACCGCAAACAGCACTGTGTGCTTCGTTTCAATTAGATTGCTGAGCAGAGAATAATCAGTGATGGAAACAGTTTCTCACCCTCCTGTCTAGTTTCGTTTGTCAACTATAACCGGTGCACTGGATTGCGCTTACTTCACCCGCCTTAATTCACGTGCGTTTATTAATACCACTCCTAATAATAATAATAATAATTCAAGTCTACTAGCCATGCTACGAAATCGCCGTGTGATTTAGGCAAAGAACGCTGGATTCCACTGACTTCGAGATTACGCAATATCTGATGCGATATCCAACCACTGATGTTGCCAATTCCACGGACTTCCTCTGGAAAGGTGACAAGAGCCAACCCTACCCTACATTTAACCGAAGCTCTTCATGCTCCTTTGCCATGTAACTAATTGGTCACCTCGGGGTTCCTTTCAATTTGGTGCGGCGTTGGCATACTGTACACGCAGCTGCTCGGACTACAGGCTTACAGAGCACATAAGCGAGCCACTGTGCGTGAGTCGAATTAGGTACAGGAACCAGTGGCATACCAAAAGGCCTGTTGCCATACCCCAGATTGTTCCACCAGATTCCGGAAATACTTCATACTCGCCATATATTTTTCCGTTCCGAATTTGTACCAGCTGGTTAATTGGACCCTTCCCGTCCCGCTACATTCTCACACATTGCAGAACTTGACACCATGTGCTGCATCTTCCCCCCGTGTACTATCAACGCAGAAGGGCGCCGTCTCACCACCAGACCTCTTAGTTACACTACTACGAGAGGGTGCTGATGCGTTCTTGGCTTTGACCATAAAGCAGAGTGCTAGAGCCATAAAATGACATATTTATTCAGCATATTTACCCGTGAGTCTAATGCATTCGGTACGACATATTTGCTTTTTTCTAGACCGGTCAGGTAAAATTCATTTGGTTGTACCTCAATCCAGCGGTCAGCAGTGTGTTTGCTATCAGAAATGTCGCCCCTTCAAATGTTTCTTCAAGTTCGGTAAGAGATACTAGTCTTACAAAGCCACATCAGGTGGACTAATTGGAAACCCAAGGTGTTCAATTTGGCAGCCTCAATTCGTTTCTGTTTGTGATCACTGGTCAAATATTTCCGTACCAACTTTGCTAAAAGCTAACGTATGTCCAGTACAGTAGACATAATAAACCCAACACGCTCTTGTGAGATGTGCAGTATGTAAATAATCCTTTAGCGGACATTCGCCGTTCCTCCATACTCCGTTCATGGACAGCGTCGTAGGTTGGTTGCTGGGTCAGTGGGGGTGTGGGGTGCGTACTGCGCGACTCATCCGGAATATTGAAATGACCAATCTTGAAACGAACTATCCGGGTTTTCACAGTGCTGTAGGAAAGATAAATCAGCCTCAGTCTCATTGTAAATTTTTTTCAAATTTCTTTTGAAGAATCAGAAACTTCATGACGGCCCATTGCTCAAGGGACGTGCAATTTGCTTCTGCCTTTGCCATCACAGTTTCTGCTTGAAAAATTGAAACTTTGTTGGAATCACAAACACCTGGTATTTGCACAGTTAGATATTAAGCTCCTTTTTGCCCTGCTCCTACACTCTTCCTATTATATCTGGAAAGGAGCAAAGCCAAGAACATATCAGCACCCGCTCGTATGCCAATCTGGTTCCTCGGTCGATTCGCGGGCCCAGTAGTTTTCTTTTATTGGTCAAGTTACTGGAGAAGCTTTTGTTCATACCGTGAGAGTTCATCCTACTTCGGCCACCATAACATCCCATGCAAATGTCCGAGTATCAATTTGCTATTCAAGTACAGGCATCACAACGTTTCGATGCTACCAGTGCTATTTGTGTTGGTCGTGGACATGGCGCTTTGCGTTCTAAGCACTGAACAGCCGGTTCCCGTACAGTGTGCGTTTCAGAAGCGTTGCCCTGTGTTGTCATACAATCCGCATCTTTCTAATTGTTAGGGTCGTGTTTTCCCACATACCTGATACCCTCGACAGCCGTTTACCCAAATTGCATCCGGATTGCCCGAGGTCCTCAAAGTGGTCTGTTGATGATCTGCTGAAGACATGTTGTTTGAGCTGACTGAAATAACGAATCATACTGAATTGTTGCTTCCAGGTCATTCGTATCGGATTTTAGAAACTCTGTGATGGGCCACATTGGAGAAGTCGGCGTTCTAGTCTATTGGCCGTTATCAGCCTGCACTGAGTTGACTACACTATTGCTCCGATTCTTTTTTATGTCTGCTCACCTTATCCCATCGCGGCTATCGCTTAAGGAAATGCATGTAAAATCTCTTTTTCTTCCACCTCTCGTGTGACTGATCAGCCCTAAATTCATCTTCTCACAGGCTTATCGTTCCTAAATTGGACAATTCACCTCCGCCAAGTTACACGTCGTTTAAACACACATCTTTTCCATCTACTCACTCTGTTATCGTTCCACCCGCTTGTTTGCGAAGTTCGTCATCAGTTGAAGGGTGAGTTTATCATCTGACTTATTTGTTTGTGTGAAAGTACACCTCATTTGGTCTTCTGACCTGTTCTGACTCCACTCCTTACCTTTCCGAACGCTATTGATCAACCTATCCTGGCACCGTTCATTCGTCAGTTAGGCGAGATCCGCCACCTATGGCACCCCGCTGGTTGCATCGCACCTTTCGCTGCACGTCGCTCTCTAAAGGACGCGTTTCACTTCCTCGGTTAGCCAACGCACACGCACGTGTGTGTGTTTACGCTCGTTATGGCCGAGGCGCGCCGTCTGCCTCGATTCTGTTGGCTTACCATCAGCCGCCTCCTTGGTCCCCGTGTGCTCATTGACCCTCACAACAGGGTTCACTTCTATGGAAACGCTTTCTCGTATAGGCAACGTGTTCACAGTGACAGCTATCAAGTTCCATCTTAATCAATCTGATGAGCTCCGTTTCTCGTGGATGGCAGGCTAAACAGGCATGTATTGTATCTCGGGTCTTGCTCGAATGACTGTGCACGTTTGGTCACGTGTCTGTTGATTGTTTTCGCGCACAGCGCAAAGCAACTGGATACTGACAAGACCATTCTATCCGCTCCCCCTTGAATCTTGGTTCCAAACGCTTGCCATTGGTTGCTAAAGGGTCTTGGGTGCACAGTTTTTGGGATAGTCCTGTGTCCAATATATGTGATTTCATGCTACAACGGACGCAACCTCGTCACGTTGCATACTTATGTCATGTATGGCTGGCAGGCGTCTGTCACTCTCCATTCGAATACTGTTAAGAATCACTTGTGCCCTTGGAGCGTATACTTTCTTGACATTTTCTGAGCTTTGCTACTCTCCGGGGACATTGTCACTCCGACTTACTTGTTGCCGGAGTTTTCGGTAGCTCCGAACCAGTCGTGTTCATTGCTCTTGATAGACCCTCGATTCTTAATTACGAGGGACTGGAGACAGGTAACCAAATCACCTATCTTTGTAAACCCGCTGACAGTGACGGGCATTCTTTCGGAACTTATCTTGCTTATTACCAAATTTGTAGTTGTCTCCATGAGCCCGCAACATTTTTGGCATTAGATAGAGATTTCCGTTGTCCATAGATACCATGCTCACAGAGCTATAGTGAAAAATTTTCTCCTCCACGGTGAGAAAACTTGTCTCCTTCGATTTGAGAATGTCAGACACCTTGAGCTATTTGGCCGCTTGTGTCGGTTAACGCCAACGTGCATTCGATGATAAGGCGCACAAACGAGTACTACGCAGCAGTGTTCAAGCCATGTTGTTATACTAACAACTAAGATTAAATCGGTTGCATTGTATAGGGCATGTGTGCCCTATTATCATTTGCCGAGTATGGCCTTGTTTTTTTCACTGATTCCAGGGTGGCGTATGGCTCAATGGGTTACTCGGTATCTGGGCCTCTGTAAATGAAGCCACTGATAACACCACCTGCTATTGGTACTCTTTATCTTGCAATCTGTGGTTCGTATTGCCCACCGTGTACTCCTTGGCTCATAACTTTCCTGGACATGGCTCGCATATTTGGGGTATCTTCCTACTGTGTCTGATGCTAGGTTGTCTGTAGAGAAAACCCGATTGGGAACTTTGTCCTTGATGACCTTTCCTCCTATTTGTGATTGTTGGCAGGTCTCGAGCGCCTTGCTTCAGAATGCATGTTTTCGGCTTCTAGGTTTCGCATCAAATACCTTTTCCGTCTCCCTACTTTGCCGTACTGAGTCAATCATCATAGCTGCTATTCGCATTTACCTCTGTCTTCTCTCGCCTTATCTGCGCGATGCAGGTGCCCCATTTCTCACTAGTCACAATTGTCTCATTGGCGTTCACACTTAGTCTCTAAGGTGTATGGATTTTTTCTCGGACGTTTTCCACCGGTTTGTCTACTCCGCTATAGTTTCGGTTCTGAGGGTTTCCCTCTAGACGCTATTGCAGCGAATTGCCTGCTTCGGTGGCGGGGCAACGAATTTAGAGTTTGTGGATAGATTTTACAACTTCTCGACAACACAGTCGGGCTCCCATGCTGCATTTTCTCTTTTTTTCTATTCACCCTCCCACGATATCACTGTTAGGTTGCCAACCTCTCTATTTTTTCACTTTAATAATAACTGCTATTGACCGTTTGCCGGTTTGCTTATCCAGACATTTTCGGTACTGTAGGCAGTAGTGTTTATGCTTCTATATCGCAACACGATACGTTACCCTGCAGCCGTTTCGTTAAATCCGGTTAGCATACCAACGTCTGAGCAGTCTTTTCAGTGCTGTGTGTTATAGAGGGCTTCAAATCACCAATATTCTTCTCGATTTATAACTTCTTGGATGGCAGGCTAATAAGCCTCCGTGGAACCATATCGGTGCGATGCCGTTTGTTTATCATACCGGATTTTGAATGGCTCCCCCCAAAAGTTTCACACACTCAAATCCTCTTGGAACGATGACTCACTCGTATTAGACGCAAGATACAAACGTTTGTGTTGTGTGATTATTGTCGCTCGTGTTGGACAGTGTCCCTAAAGATGAAGCATCTGCCTTGTGAACCAAAGGTCACCGCATCGAATCTCCGTTCTCGCGAGCGACCTTACAGTATCCCTAGTTTGTGCTCGACTCATCATCATCATCAACAGCAGTACATCAGCCATTTGAACTGATGCCTCACTGCCATACAACCATGATGACCTATGAAATATAGAATAATAAGAGGGAGAGAAGAGGGGCTAACCTGAAAACCTTTATCCCTAAGCGAACATTCAGAGTCAAGGCGCCTGCACCTTATATAGACAACATACCGTCACAAACAGCTGGCTATCGTGCTCGACTGGTAGCGTTTGATTGTCAGCGACACGTCGATGCAGCGTAGTGTTGGTCCTCTGTGCTGTTGCTTGTTCTACTGTTTACGGGCCACATTGATCCATTCGTTAGGAGATGCTTCTCCTAACACAAAATCTTCGTCATCACCAATAGGAGCACATTCGTGCTTTGTATTGACATTTCGTCACCATACAGTTGCATTGATGCGATCGACGAGGAACACTAAGAAAGAAGATGCGCAGTGTAATACCTAAATGTCGCCAGAAAACATTCGAGGTCAAGGACCCCACTGCTTAACAACATCCCACACTCATGGACGGCTGGCCGTTGCGCGAATATTCAGCATCGTCGCCGAGACAGTTTTCTTACCGTTTTCACTACCACATCATACGCTACCTTACTCCATACATCATTCGGTATCCATACTAGATTTGGGCAGGAGTCTGTCTATGGAGCGACAGCAACTACACTACAACGTCTCATAACCAGCCTTTAGGTTGAAATGTTTACTACTTGAGTGCCAAGATCCGGTGAGTTTATGTCCCCGACTGCTTTTAGCTGTTCATAGCACCTTTATACCCTTTAGCTTTGACTAGTGACTTTGCATCTTGCGCGGGTTCTGATGACACTGTGGTATCCCTTCCTACATGTAGTCGCTTGCTACGGCAGTGTAGCATTGCTAAGTACTATTGTTATGCTATCGCTACTTTTTTTAACGACATATGAAGGATTTCTGCTCCTGTTTATAGGTGGCTAGGGTATGTTCGTGTAGCCTTGTGCCTTCCTCCTTACCAAATCTACGTAGTATGTGTGTTATAGTTACCGTAGCATGTTTTATAAACCACCATCGGTGTTTCTTCTCCACTCAATTTTCCTTAACTTAGAACTCATTCTTGATTGTTTTACTTGGCTTGTAATCATCTTTAATGCCATGTGGTGGTCGTGGTATCGCCACCACAGCGACTCTTCTCATCTTGCAGTATTTTATCCATCTCTCGAATGATACTCATTTTGCCGGAGCGATGTGGCATGACTACGGTTACCTATATTCAATTCTCTGCTCCCTTTTAGTACGTCAGCATGAACCCAGTTGCCCAAAATGTCTCCGGTGCCACCACTATTGTCAACGTCACCAATCCGACCTATCAGTTCATTCAACCAAGCACTATGCTGATGACGCCCACCTTGTATGCTGCCCCCACATCATCCATCACCTGTCAACCTTCGCATCTACAAATAACCACCAACCCATCCACGTTTGTTTCCGGATCCCCGGGGATGTTTGTCACTCAGTTTCCACACACACTGTCTCCTTTACATTCGACCAATCTGCAGTCGTTTTCTATGGTCCCCACTTCAGTTGTGCACAGTTTTGTGGGACAGCCTCCCACTAAGCTCAGTTGACCGTTGACATGTGTTTCAACCCGACATCTTCACAATCGCTAGTACTCTGCCCAACGTTTACCATCTTATTCCTCGTTCTTGCTCTGCGAACAGCTGTCTTGGTGAAGCGCTCCTGCTTTCATTAGTTGGGAATCCGTTAGTCTCTTCTGTCCCTCACCACCTCTCTTTCTACATCATCTTCTCTAACGTGCAATCCCTTTGCTCTTCTGCTTTTTACTTTGTTCGTTTACATTCTTCCTTCCACTGGCGGTCATTATCAAATCGATTGCCATTTGTTAATAATTTGTGTGCATTTAAAATGTCTATCTACCAAACAAAACATGTCGTCTTTCTGCTCAATTAATGCTTACTTCATCTCATTCTCCGTCGACTAAAGCTCCACACCTACCTCTGGGATATCTTTCAAACCCATCCACTTGTTGTGAGACCCAATAGCAATACATTCGATTGTTTTTCGTGCCCGCGACGCTCCTACTCATGTTGTATATTTGCCCGCATCACATCTATCTTTCGTCCGACCGCACGCGGCGTTGTTGCCTCTGTTTTTCTTTCTCGCATCGCTTCCCTCTTGTCCTAATTTTGTATAGAATGATGGTTTTTATTGTTCTGGTTTCTAGACTTTAACGAGTAATATAACACGGGCAACGCATGCTTACTTATTCGTTTTGTCTTCTCGATAATGGCCGTGTTCTCGTGCATCCAGTATTCCTCCACCCCGCTTCCTTTATCGATACATTCACGTGAGCTGGCTGTTTTCCGTGGGCGTTGTTGCAGTCTGTTAAGCCGAACATCCTTAGCCATGCCGGCCCATGACCTGAAGGTTCACAAGTCTGCCTTATAATTAGGAGTTCCCTGGTTCGAATATGCGTAGCGGACCGGGCGACCTTCGCAGTATCCCTAGCGCGCGCGACTGTTGGTGCTAGCGTGGCAACTAAGTGTCGGCACTACGTACCGGCGTACTGTTGATACCCTTTTTATACATACATTCCTCTTGCAGTCAATGTAAACTGTTAGCAGTTGTTGTCTGACGACTTAGCTCAGGTTTGATTTCGTACTCGTGTACCCTATATTTCAAAACTCAGGGACAAGCGTTTATTTGGCAAGGACAATTCGACGAAAATTACAGCACGGTTGCCACGCCAAACTCCTCGATATAATCCATAAATTATGCCCATTCTGACTTCAAAAGGAAATTGCGTGCAAATTTCTTCTCGATAAATCTTTTCAGGCAATTACACTTATAAGCTTTATAATCATTTATGCACTAGCTGTTGCTAGCGATACGACACAAACTAATAAATGCTGCGATCGGATGAACGGTGACAATCTATGTGAACCCACTACCATTGAACATTATGCCAGAAGTCAGTTGACCAGGCTAGGGCCACGGTAGGGTTAAACTCTGCATAGGTGCACGCTGTTCACAGTTCCGGCTTCGGTTGCCTGATCGCATTTGCTTCTGCTATGGCCAGTAGGCACTTCCTGAGTCCTTTTGTGAAGCATTTTGCTGCTGACTTGCCTGAATCGAAGTTTCCGATGCACCCAGAACGATACGTTCACAATCTCTGTAAAGTAAAGCCGAAGTAACTACAACTTGATGCTCTGTCATTGGGACCAAAGTTTTGTACATCACAACCACGTAGGACCCAATTACATTTAGAGACACAGTTCGAGAATTTAATACATCAACTACCAGAATTAAAACTTACATTCTCCTGAGCTCAAGACTATTTCAAAACCACTTTTGAGCGGCAGGGTGCAAACCACAAAATTAATCACCAGTGCACACCGAGAAGCGATAAAAGAGTTGACATCCAATCCAGAGATCATATTCTCAAGGCCAGCTAAGGGATCAGGTTGGGTAATAATAGACAAGTGTGACTGCATGTCTTAGATGCATACGATCTTGCAGGATCCCAGGAAATTCGTGCTTGATTGAGTTCAAAAGGACAACACAGCACGTGTCGAGATCAAAATAACCAACTCATTAAAAGAACCCAAACGCGGTAACTACCTCGAAAGCTCCTTACTTGAATGATTAACACCTTGCGGCTTGCCTCTACGGTGCGCCAAAGGTCCACAGACACAACACCCCCATTACCACCAGTGATTGATATGTTTGGGTCTGCTACCCACTCAGTCGCCAAGTAGCTTGTTAAACTTCTCGAACCATTCCGTAAAGAATTGTCCGGTCACGCCGTGAGTGACACATTTGCATTCGTTCATCAGGTAGAAAGCTTAGATGTGAAAGAAAAATTGTTGTTCTCCTTTGATGTAGTATCTCTCTTTACGAGTGTTCCATTGTTAGAAATGGTCAATCTCATCTGTAAAGACCTAACAGAAAACAACATTGTTCTTCCGATCCCGGCTCGTAATGTGAAAGAGCTATTTCTACGTTGCACGTTCAACAGATTGTTTCTATTTGCTAGAAAATACTATAGACAAATAGACGGAGTTGCGATAGGATCGCTGCCCGCAGACATTTTTCTCGCATCCCTTGATTATTACAAACGATATATGGACGATACGTTTATTTTTTGCGACTCATACTGATCATGTTCACCTGTTAAAATAATTTAATTACACGCACCCATCGTTGAAATTCACTTGCGAGATTGAAGCGGGCATTTAGCTGCTAATGTGGATGTTTTGCTGCGACGACGAGAGGACGGATCGCTTGAAAGAAAGGTTTTCCGCAAGCCAACCTGGGTAGGTCAGTACACGCACTTCCACAGTTTCGTACCGATAAAGTACAAACGAAACTTGGTACGCGACCTGTATTATCGGGCTACAAGGATTTGCAGCCCTGCGACACTGGAAGCGGAGAAGAATTTCATACTCATGACATTGGAAAACAACGGGTATCCGACTGCTTTCATCAAAAAGCATTCTCAGTTCCGAGCTGAGCTTAAACCGAAAATGACCGTGAGAAGGAAAGATGTTTTCCTTTCAGTACCTCTCAAAGGTGACGTACATTTCGAACTCTTGAGGAGGAAATTGACTTTCGCGCTAAACCAAATGTACCCGGCCGCCGTGGTCCGCATTCACGCCGAAACCGCTCCGCTCGTCATCAACCGCCTAAAAGGACAATTCCGACCCAGTCCCAATCCTATGTTTTATACCAGTTCACTTGCACCTGTGGTGCGAGCTACCTCGGACACACGACCAGACGTCTGTCAAAGCGGGTAGCGGAACATTGCCCTGCCTCATTACAGCGTGACACCACCAGAAATGTCCACAGCTCCATCCTAGCACACCTAGTGGATAGTGGACATAACATACAAACGAAAGCGGCGTTCGAAATACTGAATGTAGCACCAAAATTGCACAAAAGGACTCAGGAAGCGCCTACTGGCCACAGCAAAAGCAATTGCGATCAATCAACTGAAGCCGGAACTATGTAAACAACGTGCACTTATGCAGAGTTTAACCCTACCGTGGCTCTAGCCTTGTCAACTGACTTCCGGCATAATAGTCAGTGGTAGTGGGTTCACATAGATTGTCACCGTTCATCCGATCGCAGCATTCACGACTTTGTGTCGCATCGCTAGCCATATCTACTGCACAAATGATTATAAAGCTCATACGTATAATTGCCTGAAGAGATTTATCGTAAAGAACTTTCTTCACATTTTCCCCGATATAAGTTACACGTCCATGTCCGTACGTAACGGCCCTTCTGTGGCAACGTGGTTCTCCCTTTGACTCAGTTAAACAAACGGCGATTAACTAACATGTCGGACAATCCATGTCCAGCAATCAAACCTCGTGCGTGACAGTTGTACGCCGTAACGGCGCTCCGCTGCCGTGTGAGCACCAGTCGCACGCGGGCTGAGTATATCGCGAGGAAGCCCACGCGTGCGCGGATTCCAACCCGCGCCGCAAGATTGCGAGATAAGCTCGTCACCTCTAGGCTACGGGCCGACAGCAATCAAATCAGTTACACCCGTCTCCCATTGGCTATTTGGCTCGCTCGATTGATCCACTTGTTCACTGGTATGACGCACCCATCATATTCTCCCTCTTTGTGTCCTTGAGTCTCCATATTGCGTTACATCCCGTACACCTTGCCCTTCCGCATCGTCCTCTTTGTATCTGTGGCCATGCTCACCTTGCCATACGCCATCGGGCGTTCCATTCCCAATCCAACCCATTGCCTGCAGTGTCGTCTCAAATGCACTCGCTTTCTTCTGAGCGTTTTCTTTCCAACATTTCGTATGACCTTGCACCGACCTCGCAGTCACCACACTTTTCTACCACCTCTGTTGATCATCGGGTGCTGATTAAACCCACACTTCTTCCCCATTGTTAGCTCAGGCAGTATCCGTGAACCGCGGTCGTAGTACCGTTTTTGGTGGTTATTCGTCTTCTCATATGGTTCTGTAATTTCTCATATTGTAGCGAAACTGGGCGCAGTTGTAGCAGATGCCGGCATCAGAGTTCTAGTCGTTCGACTGTATAGGCGCTCCACTGGGCTCAAGCCGATGTCCGTTGAAGGAGTGTTGCGTTTCTCCAGTAGCATGAGAAACGGGTCTTCGCCAGTAGCTCTAGCCTTTAATGACATTCGTTTGGCCTGCTACATTGCCTTTCCATTGGACTGGATGTGATATGAGCTGGTTTGTTGATGCACGAATTCCCACTTGGTTTCGAAGGCCTGGAACACAGCGCTAGTAACCTGAGGACTATTGTCGGGGATCAGCCCTTCTGGTATTCCGTGCCGCTCGAATTCGCACCTGAGCTTGTTGATTACTGCTTATGTGCTCGTAGTGGTGAGTTAATCGCTTTCGAAATAATTACTGTAGTAATTCACTGTGAGTGGGTAATCTCTCCCGTTGTCGCAGAATTAACCCACCACCACCTTCTGCCACGATCGATTACAGACATCATGCAGCCGCATTGCTTCATTTGTCTGCCGGCTTTCGTATGAACGGCACGCCTTATAATTCGACATGATCTCTGATTTGACCCATCATTCCTGGTCAAAAGATCAGTTCTCTTGCTCGGTTACTTGTATAGTTAGCACCCAGGTGAGTGCGATTAACATATTTAAGCAATTCCCCTCAGAGCGATGAAGGAATCAGAATACACCTTCTCTTGAATAGCAAACCATCATAGAGAGTTATTTCCGGAGATTGAAGTAGGGTGTTGCTTTATTCGACAGCTGATTCGTTTCTGGTCAACCATTTATAATCAAGTCTCGCAAACGTTGCATCTTCCTCTGTGTGGCGCCTTATTTCATTCCGGCGATCTTCCGTCACTGCCAGATATTGTACTAGATTTACTGCTTCAACCTCTTCTGGGTTATAATCAGGTAGATGAGCTCTTGACAGCGTGTACGCAATGAACATATGTGCACCAGACGTGCACACAATATCCACATCGTAATTTTGATGCTGGATAAGCATACGCTGAAGACGACGAGGAACGTTGTGCAGTGGTTTACTGGCTATCGACACAAGCGATTCGTGGTCGGTATACACAGTTGTCTTTCTTCCGAAAGTATAATCCCTGGAGCGCTTCATGACATGGACTACCACGAGCATCTCCTCAATCTGCGCATAGAACTGCTCGGTCGTGGTGAGTGCTCGACTGCGGAAATCCAAAGATTTTCCATTCTGAAAGAGAACAGCGCCTATACTTCCTTGGCTACTGTC